TCTCGCCGCCGCTGAGAACTTTCACCCGGGCCTGGTAGCTTGGGCCTCGCCAATTCCTGGATTGAGCTGGCCTTCGGGAGAGGAGAGCGAGCTGGCTGGGTTCGTGAAGGTAGCGCTGGAATTAGGGGTTCTGAGGACTAAAGTTAACCTTTCATCTTGCTCGGTGAAAGTCTTGTCATCAGTTACAGACTGTTGGCCCATGGATGTTGCACTTGTGCTTGAACACTTGTGCCCCCCCCCCCCTGTGCACTTTGTTGACCACCCAGGGCTCCCACTATATATATTGAGCACCAAACAGGTGCCAGGCTCTGTGCTAACATGAATTGTCTACTTTGTCCTTTCGATTAGGTTGCCTTTCTGAGAAATTTCTGGAACCCCTGCATGATAGGAGGCCTCTTGTGGATTAGTTTCTAGAAAACATTCTGTCACTTTAACAGTCTTCACTCTAGTTTTCTGCCCCCCACCACCACCCCACCCCACTACCCCCACAAAAGCAATGATAAGGAGTGAGTAGAAGACACTGAAACCCACAATACAACGATATTGCTTAAATTCAGGCTTCAACACTACCATGCTGAGGTAACATGCAAGAATGTTCTTTGCAATACATATTCTTTGACATTAAATATAGTTCATGACTATATTGTAATATTAACATAAATTGTTAGTCCCTCTACCCGTCCTTACTGATGATTGAACTGAAAGGACTGGAGAGGCCCTTAGTGGCAGAGAAACAATCAGCCTTTGATTAAAAATTAAGCAAAAGCCTCTGGTTCTTTGGAACATTGCATGCCCACATGCCAGTGCCCCCTGTTCCAGAAGCTTGGCTTCACTAATCTCTGTACTCTGATGCAAGTCTTATCATTAACCTTGCTTCCCCAAATAACGACATAAAAATGTTCAAAGTAACCTACCCAGCAAAGTTGACAATTAAGAGTAGCCAATCCAAAGCCAGATTTATTTTGAACACTTGTGAAAACATAAAAAACAGATGTAAGAAACTCCTACCCTCCAATGTGTTTTCATAAAATATGCCAATTTTTATTAATCCTCTAATTCTGAGTCTTTCTGTAAGTCAAAGGAAAAACTTCCATTTCCTACTGTTGAGGTCATTATTTTCCATGAAAGGAATGGGAGAAATAAATATTGACACTGAATGAGATTTCAAGTTATATAAATCCTGAAAGTAAATATTACCCAGGTGGACACCTGTGATGGTTCAGATTAGTTGTCAACTTGACTCGGCCATAGTTACCAGTGGTTTGGCAGATGTTATGTGATTATTCTCCATAGTCTGATCCAATGGGAGCAGCCAATCAATTGAAAGGGACATTTCCTAGAAGAAATGCCTACATCCAATATAAATGAATGTTTGGCAAAGCTTACTCCCAAGATGGATGAATCCACCCCCAGGGGGGTGGGGGTGAGGGTGGGGGGCAGCACTACAATTATGCTGGGGCCTGTAGAAGCAGATACCTACTCTAAACCCTGAATTATGATGGGCTATAGAACAAACGTTTTTAATTCCTGGGAGGGGATGGCGTGATTAATTTGTTTTTTTCCTGAAAAGGGGGTGGTAGGCCAAATATGTTTGAGAACCTATACTGTCAATCGTACATCCTACCTGTCATCCTCTGGTTCTTAGGAACCAGCATCCTGCCACCTGACCGACAGATTTAGGAATTTGCTAGGTTTCATAGCCCCTTGAGCCAGCAGCCTGCCATCTGACTTGCCCATGTTGGGTTTGTCAGGAAACAAGTCAAGAGAAGTCTCCACCATGACACCTGACCTCCCCAGATTTGTGATTTGACAGCCTCCAGAACTGCATGCACCATTTTCTTGAAAGAAACCTATAGGTATTTATATATATACTTTACTGGTGAATCACAGCACAGATCCTTAGGGTTTGGAAGCAAAGCTCTGCCATCCTCAGCATGTAATTACTATCTGTGGTAGTTATATAAATTTATGTCGGGTTAATGGATGAAAGTGTAGGGGTGGTATCCAACCTGTCAATCAGGTTAAAGCCTAATGCTGTCTCCTTTAGGGTATGACCTTCTTATAGGAGAGCCCTGGGAACCTCCACCTCTTTCTGCCTCTCTGTTCCTGCATAAGAGCTGCCGGGCCACCTTGAGAGCTGCTGGAGCCCTGGTGTATTTCCCACTAACTTTGGATCCTTTGGACCTTGAATCTTCCTGCATTCTGCATCATTGCATGTGGCTGCATGAGTCTCAAGAGGGACTTACAGACTTGAGTTGGAGTGGGCTGGGACACTTTCTTGATACATAATTGCTTCTTGGCTTAAAGTTTTTTGCTTACACCTATATGAGTATCAGTAGATTTATTTCTCTAGTCAACCCAGCCTAACACACTCTCTCCTCTTGAAAAAGTTTTACTTGTTACTAGACCGTAATAAAAACTCATTATTTAGTCATAGGTCTCCCAGCCACCATGTGTCCCAAACCTTCCATCATGAAGTGAGTGTTACCTGATCTACAGAGTCATAAAGTTGGCATGTACAGCAACACGCCACCATTAAGTGGAAGTGGTATATAAAAGATGGGACTTGAGAAATACCTGGTATCCCAAATAAATTACATGTAGAAGGGGCTCAAATTCCCATGCTCCCTAGTCCGATCACATTAACTTTCTTCACCCTTTCTGTACCTGGCCCCATGGAGAGTTCCTTACAATCAATTGAATGAGGAAGATAAAACTTGTGCCTGGTTTACAGATGGTTCTGCATGATATAGAGGCACAATTCAGAAGTGGATGGCAGCAGTGCTTCTCCTTTCTGGGACCTCCCTGAAAGACCGTGGTAAAGAAAGATCCTCTCATTGGGCAGAACTTCCAACAGTGCACCAAGTTATTCATTTTGTTCAGAGGATAAATGGCAAAATGTGTGAATACATGCTAATGTATGGGCTGTGGACAATTGTTTGGATGGTCAGGAATTTAAAAGGAATGTGATTACAAATTGTTGACAAGTAGATATGGGAAAGAGGGGTGTGGATACGCTCCTCTAGATGGATCAAAGAAGTGAAGATATTTGTATGTTATATAAATGCTCACTAAAGGCTAGCCTTTGCAGAGAAGGATTTTAACCATCAAGTAGATAGGATGTTGTGTTCTGTGAATGCCAATCAGATTTTTTACTTAGCCGCTCTAGTCATTCCCCAGTAAGTTTGTGAACAAAGTGGTCAGGGTGACAGAGAGGTTTTACAAAGGCACAGCAACATGGAATTCCACTCATCAAGGCTGACTTAGCTACAGCCATTGCTGACTGCCCCATCTGTCAGCAACAGACACTGACATGAGTCTCTACTATGACACCGTTCCTAGGGTTGATCAAGCAGCAATATGGTGGCAGATTGACTACATTGGGTCAATTCCATCATGGAAATTGCAGTGTTTTGTTCTTTCTGAAAGTGATAATTATCTTTATGTATTTGCCTTCCTTGTACACAAAGCTGCTATCAAAACTATCAGTAGTCTCACAAAACACCCTACCCACAGTCATGACATATCACGTAGCATTGCCTCAAAGCAAGGAACACATAGCAACTGAAGTACAGTAATGGACCCATGCTCATTCACTAGTTTTGCTACGAATGTAGCTGGCTTACTAGAATGATGAGATGACCTTGAAAGACACAGGTAGGTGCCAACTAAGTAGCAATGCCTTACAGGGCTAGGGCAATGTCCTCCAGGAGGCTGTATCCAGTATTATATATATGGTTCTGTTTCGCCAATTGCCAGGATTCATGGGTCTGGGAATTGAGGTGGTAGCACTCATTCTTGTCCCTAGTGACCTACTCACAAATGTTTTGTTTCCTGTTCCCTCAACCCTGTTTTCTGTGGGTCTAAAGGGAGATATATTTTCAACTGAAGACAATACTGATTCCATTGAGCTCGAAACTAAGAATTCCACTTTTGACTCCTCATACCTCTG